AACTACTAAACATTATAGGTATGATTACGATATTACGATTTGAATTTGGTATGTAGTCGACCATTTAGTCTGTTATTTATTAATTACTAATAAAGAGGCGTGATGCACAGTACTAATAGAACAATTTAGGATAAAATAAATATTGATTTATAGAAAAATTATATTTAATACCTTATAACCTTGATAATTAAAATATAATCGTATATAAAAATTATAAATGAGTTAAATGTCAAATACAATTTTTAATGATTATTCAATAAAAAATAAAAAAGTTAGATATTAATCAGCAGATGCCTAATATGATTAATTAGATTATTCTTACTAATATTGTTTTTATAAAACTTTACGTCTAGTTGTAAATAATTTGTACAAACTACAATTCTTAGGGAATGAAAATATCAACTACTTAAATGCTTAATAAATTTATAAATCTACTGGCAACCCATCATGGTTAGAATGACACACTATGGGACGTGATTATTTTCTGTACCATAACTTGTTAAAAACACAAGCGCGCTCGTTTTCTATATAATTTTAATGAGCACTCGCAGGAAGCAATGATTTCTCACCCGCGGTGTCTATTATAATACGACCAAATAAACAAAATTTGTTTATCGTTCCGTTTGGTAAATATTTGGCAAAACAACTTAAACGTTTTAACGTAGCCATAACGATTCGCATCACGCCGTTTCTAATCAAAAGTAAACCGGAGTCGTTCTTAACTCCGTGACTAGACCGGAAATTGTATTATTATAAAAGCCCGAGTCATGTTTATTATTATTATTATTATTTTTTATGTTTTTGTTGGTCATGATGGTATTTTTCCTCGTCGTCTTCAAGGACCATGATGTTAATTTTGCCTGCGGCGGCGGCGTTTATTTGTAAAAGTAAGATACAAAAATAAGTAGAAAAAAAGGGAAGGAGGTTCAAAATTCAAATCACCATGGTTTTACTCTTATAATACAGTGTAAATGCTGCTGTAGAAATGGATTGTTAGAAGTTTTACAATACATTCAACGCAATTTAATGGGCATTCTCATTATATATTTTATTTGTATTTCTCACGTGAAAAACCATATAATAAACCATATATCCTTTATATTATGTATATATATAGTATACATACCATATACTAGTTCGTTATATCATCTAGCAACGGAGTTTGAAGTGGTTGACTAATCCTTGAATATACGCAAGTATTAGACACACGTAGTCTTGTCCTTGTATATATAAATAATATTTAAATTATTTGTTTTTTTACTAGTAAAATTCTTTGTATAACTGCGCGTTGTATTGGTTTAGTGCATAAAAATTTAGTTGTTTAGCATAAAGTATTTACAAAGACGCGATAAAGAGTACATCACGTAGTTATCGTTTATTTTTAATGTAATCACCCAATGAAGCGGATATGACCTTAAACTGTGAAAATACCAGTATTAGTTAGGGCTAACTTCCGTTGGAAAATATAGACATTGATTTTTTCATTATTTTTGTATAATAACGTAAAGTTAATTTCACTGAAAATTTTGGTACACTTCACCGTATATTCTGCCGACGCATCGTGATTTTTTTTATAGTAACAGTCGTAAGTTACGTTACGTTAGCCTCTACTTCAAATTGTAAATTCATAAATAAACATTTTACTTATTATCGGTTTGTAATACTTTACGATTTTTAGCCCTATAATTAAAAACGAGGTAGGTACCTACACTTTTTTTTATGAATTAAAATTTTGGGTATTTAATATAACGGATTGTAAATTAATGGAATTTTTTAAGAAAAAAAACCGATAAGAGGGATAATAGATGATGAGGACAGAAGAATGGAAAAAGTGTAAGTAGAACATTTAACATTCTAACGTGATCATGACGCGTGTGATATGTACAGCATTATTACACTGTGACATGTATACAAATCATTGTCGCTTGTAAACTGTCTGTTTTTTATCAGTGTGGGACGCGAACTAATGGTGGATTGTGGACAAATGCGAGTAGAAAATATAACGACGAGAATTTCCACTCTAATGTAAAGGTGGACAAGGCGCGTTTATCTTATAATCTGGACAAAAGTCTTCGCGATAAAGAACGTTTCAATCAAATCATGAAACCGTCTCGGGTGTCGTGGATACTAGGATCGAGACAGCTCGATCGGGGATTATACTATATTCACTGTATATTAGGTATAATACATTATACTATGATATGAGTACACATTAGGAGAAAGTTAATTACCTCATTTGTACCACTTACCTACCACATCATTTGGGTTTAGTCGTGATGGACAGTGTTGTGCATTCAGATCGACTTTTCGTAAAATATAACTAGATATATTTTATAAATCAGATTATATAAAATAATTTTTAAGAATTGTATTTAACATATTTATATTTGTTAATTTTACATAATTTATTACAAATATTATTAATATATATATATTTAATAGACAAGAATAATGTTATCGTATGAAAGGAATTTATCCTAGGTAGGTATAGTATTTCCTATTATGTTATAATAGGTCATCTATCTTTAAAGTTTACTCAGTACTACGAGGTCTTGAATCAATAAAATTTACAAATTTGTTATTAATAGTGATATAAGATATAATAGAAACTTTAAGATTTTAACTATAGTATTAAAACTCATAGGTAATCTACATTATCAAATTAATAAAGTGATACCTAACCAAAAAGTACTATTTAATAATATAAATTATGTGAATCATATAATAATCATAAAGTTGTATAATATTATACATTATCGTATATTTATCAAAAAAATCAACCATTTTATAAATAATAGTACTGTATGGTTGTATTGGTTTTTACATCATGACACAATATATTCTTTATTTCGGTGACTCACGATTTCGCATTACACGATTCTATATATACCTTTTTATTCATATGATTTCACACAAAGTTAATTTGCAACGTTGCTTGGAAAATTTATTTTAAAAATAATTTTAGACATCTAAATAATTGATAATAATTATTAAAATAAGTTAAAAGCAAAGAAAAATATGTATCGAATTCACCATACATTTTAAATTTGTCACAATTTGATATCTAAAAAAAAAAAAAATATATAATACACTTTTTAAATTATTTTCTATTTTTATACAATAGAATTTTAAAACAAATAATCTTTATTTAATTTTTTTTTATTTAAGAGTATTACAAAACAAACTATAATTAGGTATTAACTTTTGTCATATTGTTATAGTCGTTGGTATTAAGGAAAAATTGATATAGACGATTATCATATTTTTTTACATACTTAATTATTAATTATTATTTGTATTATCATTTATTAAAAAATATATGGGTTTCTCCTTTTTATACATAATATTAAAATAAAAAGTATAGGTAATAATGTCGGTTATAATGTAATGAAACATTCAAGATAACAGAAATAATGACAAATTAATTAGAATAGAAAAAAATATATTAACGAAACAAAATATTGAAACAAATAATTGTCAAAGATGAGGGACTCATTGGCAAGTAACAGAATACGCATCAGAGGCTTATTTTTTAAATAATTTTTGTTGGATCAGAAATATAGAAGATGTTGTTTTAAAAACAATATTTATGCAAAGGAACTCTAAAATTTATTAGAGATAATATAAATGGAGAGTTAATTTGGTTTGTTACTAGACCACGAATAAATATTAAATTTAACATTTTTCCGCGTTCATAAAATTAGGCGGTATACTGTAAGATATTGGTATAATTATGAGCTAAATAATTAATACCAAATACAAAGTAAGATGATCTAAAAAATAAGCATTGTACACGCTCAAGTTCATCGAAGTCAGTAATAATAAAAGGATCTTTGAATACATATCCGTCCTCTAAAATGTAACGTATTCACTCACACTACAACGATTTAAGTGATTTTACAAGTTTTAAGTTTCAAAGTAGAAAAACCATAAACTTTTAAACGCTCTTTTAGGAAAAATTACATATTATCATTACATTAACTAATTTATTTTATTTTTATTACAATAAAATTTGAAAATAAATAATAATTATTATTATCTCATAGAACTATATTCGACAATGTAATAGTGACTTTTTTGCAAAAACGTTTTACATTCAGATAAAATAAAAATAAAAAGTTTTATATGACGAAAAATTTGTAATTTTGAGTATATATAAAGGTATATTACGAGGAGTTGTTGTGTGTAACTTCTTTGTTTAATTGAAAATTTTTTCCAGTGCAGCATATATTTAATCAGAACAAATAAATTTTAATACAAAATATAATGTAAAAAAGTGTGTAGTTCATTTTTTGTGTACATTTTTTTTTTCAAATAATAACTAATTTGATTAAAATTTAAAATTAAATTTATTCAAAAATAGGTAATAATTTTAAAGCTATTTTAAATGTTTTATCGCTGTCGCTAAAAAATTATATAATTATTATTTATATCTATAATTTCTAATAAATTCAAAAAATATTATTATTTAGGTAAACAAAGATATAGTAAAACATTTAAAAATCCTTATTAATTGCAATTAAAAAGACATAATTATTATAAATGATAATAATTATTAGGTTTAACAAATTAATTATTGATATAAGTAAGCCGGCGCATTGTGTATGCAATTTCATAACATTGCGACGCGCGTGAACAGTTCGTTGTATGCGTCATACATTATTGAGAGAGGTGTTTGTCTGTAAACTTATACAATACTAAAAACGAATCATAAATAAATTGCATTTTGCTCTTTTTATTTTTATGTCAACTCTTGTTTTCTATCCACTTGAGCCCACTAACATCACCGGGGACGCGGAATGTGAGCATTAATTTCTACTGACACCGATGGGAAAATCGTAACTCGTTTATCAAGTACAATGTCGTTTTATTGCACACTACGACGACCGTGTTTAAACTCACCTCATTTTCGTAATGTGCAATTTAATTTATAGAAAAAAAAAAAAAAAAAAAAAAAAATGAAATGTAAAATTAAATATAAATAAAAATGATATATCTACCTGTTCAGCCGTCTTTGTAACAAACAAATGACAGTACTGTTTGTTGATATGACCACCAGGTTGTCTGGCCAGGAAACAAAATTGTTTACAACCCGGATCGCACGTAGCGTACGAAACTCTCCTGAGTCCGTGAGCCATTAAAACCTCCTGAAATGAGAGTTGAATAAAAAATTACTAAAGAAAATTTATTATGGTTTTTGGTTTTTGTTTATATCAAAAAGGGTTTTAGATTAGTTAGGTAGTGTCCGGAAGTAAAACGAGTGTTAGCTGATTTTGATACAGGAAATGAACTAATTTCCTGCTGCCGTTAATAATACTAATGCGATCGAAAAACATGCCTTGTAACCGGAGAAATTGAATTTAAAGACATTTTCATTTCCTTATTCATCCCAGCAGCTTCCGAAATACACCTCACATTGGGCTTATTATTTGCAAACAAATTATATATACATCGTATCACATAAATAAATATTATGCCGAATGAATAGGCTATAAACCTACTCATTCAATTTATAATATTGATAAAATAGTATTATAATTCAATACGTCAATTCATGATTCAACAGTCGTCATATAATTATTACTATTTACCTATGAACTGATTTTATTATAATCCTTTTGTCTTACCTATACGATAATATACAAGTATTAAATGTAATATTATGTGCATTAATTCATAGCCTAAAATTTTCCTTAATAATTTTATGGTTATTGAATATGACTTGTTTATAGTATAATCCATATTGAAATTCAAAAGTGGCATGGTTGTATAATGTTGCTAATAATTATAATTTATATTTTTATTAATATTGTATAATTATTGTTGGAGTTTAAAATAAAATTTGAAATATTAAAACTTTTACGTTTCGTAAATATAACATTTTTTTTTCACATAATTACTTATTTAAAGGTAATTTATTTGCAACAATTCATAATTGAACAAATCATTTATTATTCGCACATATATTGATGGATGTATTGTAAATTTTATATTTTTTTTTTTTTTAATAAATCAATATTCAAAGCCTTATAAAAGTCATAATTCTTAAGGGTATATTAAGACATTATACTATAAACAGTATAAACATTAATTTTAAACAATGTAATATATACTTTTTGTTAATATGATTACATTGTTTCATTTAATAATAATTTTTACAATAGTTGTAGAGTTATAAAATTTATTTTAAGTTAAAGTTTCAATATAGTATAGTGTTGTAAATAATTTATTATGATAGCTTTTGTGCATTCGTGTATTTTTTGAAGTGTTCAAACATATGCATTTTTCAGGAACTATGATTGAAATGTAATATTTAACATATATTTATTCTTCAAAATATATTAAAAAAACTATTTTAATTATTTATAAATAAATACACAAAAACAAAAAAAGTAAAATCAAATCGCATTTAATGTTAACATTTATATATGCTCTAATATCGTTTTAAAGATTATATTACGGAATTTAATATTTACCGATACCCAAAAAATACGTGTATTGAATTTAACGATGTTTCATTTTAATTACCGAGATAATGAATAAATATTTACTATTAAAAATATTTTTAAATTAAACATTATCGAGAGAACTTTAATCGTTATTTTTACGAGGGTTGACTGATTCATAAAATATGACCCCCGACCTATGTGTAAATCGCGTTTCTTGCTTAAAAAAAAAAAAAAACTCGTACAAATATTTCCCTCAGTAAAAATAACTATGTATGAATATATCGATGCTACCGTCCACAGATACGATTAAATCATTATATCGAGCTAAATATTAATTAATATTTGCTAAAAACCATATCAAAAATTTGAATCACGTAAATGAAGAGAGCAAAAACATGGTTCCCCTAGTCGTAATATGCCAGAATATGCATGGAATTTTTTAAACAAAAAAAGTATACAGCAGTTATGTAGAGAATATAATACATCCTATCAGTGTGGTGTTGCTGCAGTCATTTTATTGGCTATGGAAATGTTTTTTTTTAGTTAAAAATAAAATATTTTTTTCATTCTATATAATGTAGTTATGTTTTATATGTGTATTATATAACATTACCAAGAATGCTTATAAACATGCTTGATGGTATTTTTTTTTAATACTTTTCCCCTAGATTTAATGATATTGTGAAAAACGCTTATTTAAATTCATCTTAACTTCTTAATACGATTTTAATGCTAATTGAATTATAATATAAATATTCATCGAGGTCTTATTCAATTTTATCACCGTTTTTTACTTTTTAAGATAACTTTTGTCTGTAAAATTAATTTATTATACACCAAATTAATTTTAGTTGGTAATATCGAAAATACAATATTCTATTAATAAATTATGTAAAGTTTATTGAAAACCAAATAAAAATATAAATTATCCAATAATGTTAAAGAGTTCGACTTAAAAAGGTCGTTGGGAAAAATATTTTTTTGAAAATTAATATTAAGTGTCGTCTGTATGAAAATCGGTACTGAAAAATGATTTGCACTAATTTTGTATAAAAGTATCTCAATTGTCTGTAACTTTTATGTCTTATGTGCTTAATAAAAGTAGATATGTGTATAATAAAAATGATTTTTAGGATTAACGAGTAGAAGTGTAAGAAAAATCTTTTAACTCAGATTAGATTTTAATTATTATTAAGTACAGAAGAAAGTAATCAAATCATTGTACAATCAAAAGTCATCAGTTTCTTTTATTTTCATCTGCAAAAGAGGTATTAATGTATTATTTAAAGAGGTATTCATTACACATTAATTTTTGGTATGCAAATGTTACGAGTAAAATGATTATTCTATTACATTTAAGACGTCTAAGTTTGTTGTACTTATCATATTTTTCTTTTCTACGATTTAGTATCTTCATGTGCCATCTATCCTTTCATGTTTCACGCTACTCGTTTCCATCACTAAAATTAACGTAATAATTAGCACTGGGTGTAGGGGGAGGCAATCCGGGGCACGTATCCCGGATACTAGTCATAAAGGGGCGCGCAAATTTCTTATTATGTAATAAGTGAAAAAAAAAAGGTTATTGATATAGAAGGGCGCCAATTTCATATTTTGCCCCGGGTTAAAAAAATGTTAGATCCGGCACTGGTAATAATCGCAAAATATAATATACAATTCAACAGATGTTGGTAGACATAAAATTTGGATACGTATGTATGTATCTATAACATAGGTTCTTAACCAGGGGTCCATGGACCGCTTGGGGGTCCGTAGATGGTTATTCGGGGGTCACCCAGAAATAAATTTGTTTTAATAGCGTTTTTAAGATAATAATAATAATGTCTTGCCCACATTTATTTAACTAGATATATATAATTTTTTTTTTTTGGTGGGGGGGTGGGAGGGGGGGGGGCCATGATTATATTTTGTACTTAAAAAGGATCCATGGACCAGAAAAGGTTGAGAATCTATGATCTATAATAACAATAATAATGATAATATTATATATATATATATATACCATATATGCCTGCAAAGGTTAAGAAAAACGCCAGTTTTTGTGCCTATACATTATTCATGTACACGGATTGTTGTCACGCGGTTAACTTGCGTATACAAATAAATATTTATTATATAGTATACATAGAATATGATTTATTTCCGTATTCATCCCTCCCCCTTAATTCCGTGTCACCACGATCATTGATGAAGCGATGGGGCGGAGGATGAGTTAAGAAAATGCTTGCATTTTTATGTACTCAGGGACAAGAGGAAAAGATGACGATAGGGAGAACAAGATGAGGATAAAATATGTGCTCGTCTGAATATTTTCAGATACGGATGGTCTATTATAATATGTGGTGTGAGCATCGGCAGAAGGGTTTGAGCCCTTTAGGTGTTTGTGTGTACAGTCGCACATACACATAGACTATTCATATAAACTTATGCAGTGAACGGAAATCGTAAGCTACCGTCTCCGCCACTACCATAGCATTGAATAGTCTGAGAGAGCGTATGGAGAATTTCAACTGTTGTACACTATTTAATGTATTATTTTATACAGGATGATTCTTCAAGTTTGCTTACCCTTATTATATCCTTTATTTATAAATCGTGCATTTATTCAAATTCTGATTTTTTAGAATTCTTAAGTATACAAAAATACCATCACATTTTTAAACACTCGAGGTTATGATTATTTTAAAATCATAGTATGAATCGATTAGTAATAATTTATAAGTCGTAAAATTATTCAAGTATAATAAGGAAGTATGCTTGACTAAAATAATATACTATATATATTTTATATTTTATGATAATTATAGCCTTAAGTTCATAATGCTTAATTATTTCAAAAACTGATCGTACAAATTTCTATTTAGATACATCAAAACTTGATCATCTGCTCACTAATAATTTACAGTAAAAATAAGGATTCTGTCAACTGAAACAAAGAAGATTGTATCATGATGGGACACACTTGAAATGGCATAAACAAAGGTTAGAATTTAAATAAATACATAATTAATAAGGATGGAAAATGGTTGTAAACACGTCCAATGATATCACCCTGTATATTACTATTTATTTATATTATATTTACTATCGCCGCTAGTTCCATTGCGTAGAACGTCTGAGAGATAATTTCAATCAGAACAAAAACGTATCTATACATGCAATATTTTATATTATATCCACTTTGCATAATATTATAAAATAATATATATGCTACAGAATTGCACTCGCGCGTATAATAATATGTTCATGTATTGTATATTATGTACGTATAATATTCAATTTTATGAATAAAACCACGTGTTCCGTCGTAATACCGTACGGATTTCGCCTCGGCAAACCCATTTTGAATCCCCATAAATAGTCAAGACTATTAGATTCGTCATCATTGCAGAATTCATTGATTATTCAGAGATTTTTTTATGTAAGTCTTTACAGCCTAGCGTTCCACTATATCATTTACGTACAAAGGCCGCAGTGTCGTCCATCGCGCAGTACATTTTTTTACGCACGACTCGTACCTACTTGTATATTAATAATGTAATTTAGTAATATGATGTATACAATTATACGATGCTTATAGCATATAATATTATATGTGTGTGGAATATACATAATAATATTAAAGTTTTAATTTGTTATTTTTTTACTGTTCTCTCTATAACGCACAAATTATTACGAATAAAACGTTGAGATGGACTAAATAATATTACTACAATTTTATTTTCAATTAACTATTATATTCGAGTACTGAGTATTGCGCCATATTGTGTATATTTAATTGAAAAGGATAGTGTATTTTTTTTTTTTTGGTAAACAAGTAACGATCAAGATATATAAGTCCTTTTTGTTATATAAAATATGTAAAGTAATATAGTTAAAACTTTTTTAAATTAACGACTTACAAATGTTACTGATTTTTTTTGTAATAGTCTGGTAAAATGATCTAAATCAATAATATACAATTTTTAAATATTTTAGAACCATTGAATTAATTTGATATAAATTTATTTTATAATAAAATATACTTTAAAGTTACATTTTAAACTTTAAACTATAGATACTTTAATAAATTGGTTTTAAATAGAAATTTTTATCGTTTAAAAACAATTGGTTGTTAAAATATATAAAATAATGATTTATTTTAAGAAATAAAATAAACTTTTAAGGACTTAAATTTTTTTTCAATGAATAAAATTACATTTAATATCAATATTGATATTGTTATGTTTGGTATACCATAACCATTAAAAAGTTTTAATGCTTAAAATTGTTTTTCTGTTCATGCTATTTTATATTTATTTCTATTTATCTGTACATTTTGTAAACTACCTACATAATATGTGTATATAAATTATACGATTCTGAAAACTTATTTTATTTTATATAATAAATACAATTATTTTTGGATGTTGAAGAATAAAATATATTATATAATAATATTTATTAAATATTCGTATGCATACATCTTCGTATAATCAAGATATTAATGTTAGTCAACTTATAGTTAGTAAAATAAAAATACAAAACAACGAGTTTGAGCTTATTCACTCAGTACAATATTATGTATTATTTCTTTATCTTATTTACATACTATAATTTACTTTGATTGGTTTAATTTTCTATTTACGAGTTTTACAAGTGTGTACTATAATCAGTGTTTACTGTTGTTTGTTTATTGATGTTTGATAGTTTTAGTTTTGAAATATAGTAATATAGGTAAAAAATTCAAATCCTCATGAAAATTATTTTGAATTTAAATTTATAACAAAATAATTATTAAAATCATTTTTTTTTTTTTTTTTTTTTGATTAAATAACTAATTTTATTCAAATTCGAACTAAATATGTACATAAATAAAATTATGTTTATATATTTTTCGTATATTTCGCTTTAATATAAACTTATTATGTGGAATCTTCTAGAACATTTTTAAGTATAAACTATAAAAACTATTTTTTTTATAATTTCCAAATTTTTCTTATTTTCTCAAATTTTAAATTTCTAATATTTACAAAAAGAAAAACTTTGTATCTTTAATATTTTTAAAAAGTTAAAATAGAGACAAAATAGTTTGCAAGTTATACCATGTACAGAAAATGCTATATAAATGTTTGTTATAAATTTCAAGTATATTTAGGTTTTGACACGGGTTATATTCGTTTTTGAGATACATACACTAAAAAAATAAAAACAAATAACAAAATCGATTTCGTTGAATATTGGTTGTTTTCGTAAACATTTTAGTTTTACTTTATTTATTTTTTGTTTTTCCTCAGTATTTTGAAAAGTATTACTTAAATATTTTTACTTTTAACCTTCTTGTTGATTGTTGAGTAATCCAATGTGAGATCTAATTTACTACCTAAATTACCCTTAAAATTGAAATACGAAGCATTTTTATTATTTATTATTCCAAAAGGTGATAACAGACAAAAATATATTACTAAAAAACATACATAATTGTAAAATTGATACATTTATCACTCCGCTCAAAATCTAAAACGACTTAAAAATAGATATTGTAATTTTAGTATGACAAATTACGATATATATATATATATATATATTATTAATATGTATATTAATTATGCGCTTATTCAATTTTTTTCAATGATCAGTGTTATGCATTTCTATATACATAGTTTACATAGTTCAACTACGTTTATGATGAAAAATAATAATTAATTATAAAAATTATATACCTACACCACTCATTATAAACAAAGTGATTTTACTGATTAACAGACGAAAACTTTTTTTTTGTCTGGAAGGGCATACCGCATGATTTGCATGCGTTAAATGAACGCATTGATGGTTAACAATAATGTATCTCTATATAGTGCTACTATACTACAACAAGTGTCTAATATTCAATTTGGCGTCTATCATGCACTATACATATTATTATAAACATTATACAGCTATTGGGGGAGAGAGGATGACGCTTATCTCGGTGAACAGTTCATCTTTAGTGTGTGAGTGTGTGTGTGTGTGTGTATGTCGATGAGACCGCATTCAAGGGTGGTAGCGCAGGTGACTAAGGGATAGGATGTTTCAGTACGCTGATGGTTGGGGGAAGGTAGAGGGCGAGGGATCGCGGCCGCCAGGAACTGATGCAGCAAAGCGTCGCACAAGCGGGAAGCGTCAAAAGCCGTTTGATTGATAGTCGTATCCGTATATACAGGCCTTTGACGGGTTGATTAATTAACGATAGCTAGTCGCCGTCGCCGTTGCCATACGTCCCCACGCGGGTTTCTACAGCGGCACGCGCAGAAAAGGTGAAAGTGAACGCCAGTGTCGGAGTAGATGAGGCGGGATGTGATGAAAAAGCTATAGGTACCCAGGTATAGACTTTAGCGTCACCGCCATCTTGTTTTTCGCCTTGCCCTTTACCTCTACTTGTCGTGTTTATTCCGACTTCCACTTGCTTCTATAATCCCAACCACCATCTCCATGCTGCTGTAGACAGTGTTCGAATTTTGATACATGTTCAATGTTGAGCCCCCCTACCATTACATTATACATCTCAAATACGCTCATTAATCAACCTGGGCAAAAATGTATTTCATCATCGTTCTTATATTTTATATAATATAACGTATATAGTGAATATATCATCTCATGGACCTCTATGGAAAGACGAATACTATGACCTCACATCGTCGAAACCCCTTTCAAGTGATTTCTCCTCACTCGTTTTCCGGTAGGCGCCTTTTTTTTTTTTTTTTAAACAAACGTTATTCATAATCTAAATACTACCACATGTCTACTGTTTCTATATAAAATAAATAATACATATAATGTACAGTTTATAGTTACTTGAACCTAATAAAATGAGACAATATAATTGAACTCTACCAAGTTAGATAAGATGAATAATATTAAAAAATCATTATACGATATAAGTCTTGAGAATTGTCATTGCCTATAGCGACTATTTATAATACATTAAAAATAATGATGATTAAGTATCGGATAATATGGTGTCTTTCATCATGTATAAAAAAAAATAATGTGTGGCTTGGCGTGGTGCATTGGCTGCTACTAGTCGCGGAATGCGACTGGGAGTAAGTAACGCCCACAGCTACTAGCTCCCGGATGGGTGACCACTCGGGTTCATAGTGGTTAAAAATCTTGTCTCACATACGTGTGTTTACTATCAACCGTAACAATCATAAAAACAGCCAATCGTATCAACCTTACCCCTACCCACAGTTAATAATTCCTACAACACTTAATGGCTCTAGTTGCTGGGCTTAAGTTTAATTATAAAAAAAAAAAAATTTGATTTATTTTTTATAAAGTTATTATTTGGCTTAAATTATATTATATGATATATTTTATTCACATTAATAGACTCAATGAAACTGATATGCCTGTCACTATTTATTCGTAAAATACATATATACACAGTACTTACATAAAGAAATAATTGATATTAAATTAGATTAATCACTAATTTTAGGCATCAATTGTAATCGGACATTGTCATCTTATTATAAAAATTATGTAATATTATCATTTTTTTTTTAGTTTTCTAGTTTACCAAATACATTAAGTTTAAGCAATTTAACGCGTTGAAAATATAACACAATCGGTTGGAGGAAATACGTGTGTGTATGTGTGTGTGACTATGTGAGTGCATACTGTATATATGTGAAATGTTTAATATTATATCAAGAAAAATGGAGACTGTATATTGTAATAGTTATATAATTTCGTCAATATAAATCTTAATATTATAATTTATAACCTATCTATAGATGCTAAATAAGTTATACAATATTAAATGATAAGAATCCCATATCAGCATACACCATTAATAGTTAGCGTGAGTTCAATTTTTTTTAGAACGTCATCGGAGAATATTTTAGGATGTAATTTTATCATTTAGATAGTTCAGATCTATTTGATATATATATACAGTCGACTCTCGATAATTCAAACCTTCGATAATTCAAAACCTTTAGTAATTCAAAGTA